GAGGCACACTGACCCCTGGGATCAACTAAATCAGAGAGTTAAGCTGTCACCACCGAGACCAACACAGAGCTTACCAAACATGTATCAAGAAAGAAGGAAGATAAAAAAGGAAAAATATGATCATCTCCAAATTTTGAAGAAAACTCTACTTCAAGATTATCATACCTTCTATGATAATCTTCCCTACGAGGAAAATTAATTTTTCACTATAAACTATGTTCTATGTAAATACATAATATAATACCTTTTTTAGGTTTTTCTGGAAAAATACGTATATCCCCTACCATAAGGACAAAAATTGCGTAACTCCTTAAAGAAACATAGTTTTATACTTAGCACATTTTTTTTTGTTTTCATCGATGTGTGGCAGTTTTTCCAAGAATTAGTAATTTATAGTATAAATTTCGATAAATTATTACATAAACTCAATCTACAGGAAAGTTTTTTGTCTCCCCTGAAAAATTTGCCTTTGGGAAGATAAGTGATTTTCTCCGGAAGGCGACGATATATTGAATAAATTAAGGATAAAAATATAATGAAGCTCATGTCGTTCAAGCATTTTGTCCTCTAGTTCTAAGGCAACTAGGGAAAAACGTAGACCCCTACTTCTACCTATATCTACCTCAATATCTGCTTTGCCTTTTCAACGAGAATGAAGAATTGTATTTTTATACAAGCAAACTTAACTGTTGCAATTCAAGATAATAACATCAGAAGTAAGTGAAACTGCAAAGGAAGATGACCAAGAAGACATAGGTTTCATCCCGACCTGGTGAACTGAAAAATTGTAAATGGACAACGCAGCAGGTTCGTGAGCATTTCAAACACCTATACCTCAAATGTAACACCGGAAACGCATCCTTTGGTTTTCATGTTGATAAAAAGTAAAAATCATAGAGGTGGAACTTCAAATCTGCCTGATTGCACATAGTGCAAAACATGTTCAAAAACATTTTTAATATGCACCTGTTACTACGTTACCGCGCAGCCTAATCCGGCAACTAGGAGAATGGATCACTCCCATTTAAACGTCACTGATGAAACTCTCAATCAAATTCGACAGCTAACTAATTCCGTATTGAAGAAACAGTGCCGAAACCCTCAACCGAAATCGGCAGTGGTTTTTTGGCAGCCTGGAAATCGCATCTTTAAGCTTTAAGAGACTCAGTTTCACTGATCTATATCGTCTGGTTTGCTGAACTGACTTTTATTTAAATGAGGTCGCATTGTCATTCAAATTACTAATTTCATCAGCCAGTGGACGCGACTAATTTGCCTGATTGCTCATTTCAGGGAAACAATAAAAGTCATACGAAGACGAGCCCACTTTTATTTCCCATTTTCATATTTGATGGAAGGTTCACAATAATTACTTTGAGTTGCTGAAAAATAAGTAAAATTAATAATGATAGTAACGTGACTGTCTCTAGTTTTAATTTTAAATAATTTCAGTAATTATTTTGCTCAGTCAGTAGCGCACACGTGCTTACATGATTTGATATAATCGGATAATGAGTACAGCAGATTCCACTATAATGATGTACGGTTGAAGGATCACAGATGAAAAAATCCTTGATCGATATGTTAAGGCAATGATCATTTATTTCTCATCATAACATTTTGTTAGTCCAGAACTGTTAGACAACTTACCAGGTCAAAAAATGCTGACGCGATTTCCGTTTGACCAAGTCTGGATCATCCCTATATACTGAATAAAGGAGATAATACGAAATTCATATTGCGCATACAATATATAATATACTAATTACAAATACACTAGTAATATAGCTATATTACTAGTTTGCTCAACGCAGAGGAGACCGTATTTACTGTACCGCCGGAATCGGCGGATTCAAGCGGCCACAGTGGCTGTCAAATGCAAACTGGGACACAGCTCCAACAGACAGCTTGCTGTTTTCACATCCGTAGTGGTCGATGCAGGTGATAGATGGCACTTTGTGCAGTCTTCGATAGATCGTATGCCGTGTTCGTTGACATGTAGGTTGATCCGAACAACTGCCTCTCCAAATTCGTGAAATTGGGAAAAAGATCGAACCAAAATCTTCTGTAGCAGCAAGTACGCGTTCCCTTGGACATCCATACAGATGTGGGGAAAATAATGTGTCTCAGAAACCGATGAAGTGACAGTCCATTGGGAAACCAAGATCCGACTATATAGAAATAAAGGTTAGTACAAGACTGTACCGTGCTGTGGTGAAGAACTACACACACGCACAAATTAATCTTTCTGTGCTTCGTTCTACAGGGTGTTTCAGTTTATTGTTGCATAACTTCAAGATTCAATAGAACTTTTAAAATTAATGCATAAAGTCTATATAAACATGGGTCGAAAAATGCGTGGCTTCCGAAATACAGGGTGTTTAAATTTACTTTCTAAAATAGTTTTTTTTTAAATATTTCGAACAATATTTGATGTATAATAGTGAAAATGGGTATACAAGGGTTTTTTGGTACGATAAAACGAACCATGGGCATAGTTTTACTGTAACCGCTAGAGGGCGCTCTCTACTGTACCTGCAGTGTATTAAAATGAATGAAAATTTTTTCTTAGTGCAATTTCTTGCTTTTTGAATAAAAAACTGATTCTTCGCACTTTTCAACATAAAAAAGCTCTCTTGTGAATCTTCGTTATAGTTAGCTGTTTTTAAGATATTTCGATTTTTAAGGTTCGATGCATTTTTAATTATTTATGATAAAATAACGTTAAAAAGTCAGTATATCGATAATTTTTACAAGTAGGCTGTGTCTGCAAATATTTTTGAAATTGAAAGCAGAATAAGGTTAAACGTCAATTAGTTGACAGTTAGTTTTGTTGACTGTTGAAACCTGAAACGTTTTTTGCAATTGTGAATGCACGAAATTTAGTTTCTTTCACCTGTTTTTTTTTTGTAAGTTTTATAAAAATGCCATTTTTATTCTCCAATCAAGAGTTAGCGGATATTCATTTTGTGTATGGCTTTGTAAATGGAAACGCAGCAGAAGCAGCCAGAGAATTCGCACGAAGATTTCCAAACAGACGACATCCAACTCGCTCAGTATTTGTAAGAGTGCATCGCCAAATAATTGAAAATGGTTTTGGAAATCTCCAAAGGGATCAAAACATAAATGTTCGTCAGCGCAGATTCACCCGTATGATTCTGCGTGAGTTTGATAGAGATCCGACCACAAGTGTTAGGAGAGTTTCTGGTGCCTTGGGAATTTCAGCAAGCCATGTTCACCGTGTTCTTAGAAATGACCATAGACGTCCTTACCATTTGCAACCTGTGCAAGGACTACAGCCAGGGGATGGAGAACGAAGAATCACATTTAGTCAGTGGATTCTTGATAGAACTGATAATAGTAGGAAGTTTTTAAGTAACGTTTTATGGACCGATGAGTCATGCTTCACTAGACGTGGAGTGGTAAATTTTCATAATCAGCATATTTGGTCGCATGAAAATCCGCATGCAGTTCTGGAAAGAAATTTTCAGCATAAATTAAGTGTGAGCGTGTGGATTCGTATCTACCGTAATCGACTATTTGGACCCTACCTTTTGCCTGCAAGGTTAAATGCTGCGACCTTCTTGGAATTTTTGAAGGCTGAACATGCAAATATGTGGGATGATGTTATGTTAGATTTAAGAATATTGGCCTGGTTCCAGCTTGATGGTTGTCCAGCTCATTATTCGAGAATAGTTATAATCTGGCTGGACGAAAATTATCCAGAAAGATGGATCGGCCGTGGAGGACCACTCGCCTGGCCTCCACGATCCCCTGACCTAAATCCATTAGATTTCTTTGTGTGGGAATTTCTAAAAGAAAAAGTGTACCAGACTCCCGTAACTACAAGAGATATGCTAATAGACAGAATCAGGAATGCATGTGATGAAATAAGGCCTTATTTGAATAATGCTATACCACGTTCGATCATTCGTAGATGTGAATTGTGTATTGAACACTTGGGTTTACATTTCGAGCAACTACTTTAGATTTTGTATGTTTGTCCTAACTATCCAATAGCATTTTAGTTGTAAATAATTAATTTAATTTGTAAAAAATAATATTGGAAAATTAAACAAATTAATATTGTTTTTTTGTGTTTATTTGGAGTTAGGAATTATTGCTGTGTTTAAAAACACAATCTAAAGGATCATCTTAATTACTTGTAATGCCCAAATCGAAAATGTAAAAAAAATATTATTTTCCCATAAATAATTAAAAATGCATCGAACCTTAAAAACCGAAATATCTAAAACGCCTAACTATAACGAAAACTTACAGGAGAGCTTTTTTATGTTGAAAAGTGCGAAGAATCAGTTTTTGTATTCAAAAAGCAAAAAATTGCACTAAGAAAAAATTTTCAGTTCAACGAAGTATGATGGAAGAGGTCGTAACTCCGTTGGTTAGGTAGCAATTATCACACATATAGCCGAGTCATAAATTGATTAGCCGGTTTATATTCAACTTGACTGAAAAATTAGTTACAGTATAAAAAGTAATATACAACAGGATATTCTATGCCATTTATTAGTCAACAAATAGCAGATAAAATGATTTTTACAGTAGTATTGTGTTTTCTATTTTTGCATTACTAGTCTGAATACGAATTGTGTAGCAGTAGATAACTAGTAATGAATAAAAAACGTATTTTTATAGATAAGGGATTTGTGTTGAGATGCTGGATAAATTTATAAGTACGTTAAGTTTTGTTAACAGTCCCTACTAGCATATCGATCTTTAACAGAAATTGAATCTCTAAAGTTAGTTAGTTTACAACTTTACAACTGTGCGATATGCCCTATCCCATGTCATCATTTTGGATATCATTCATCAATTCATATCAAATTATGCTATTTTAATTATTAATACGTGTACGGTTAACGTGGTTACTTAGCTAGTTTATAGTCACATATATTTACAGCCACAGCTAGATTATTATAGACACCTTACATATACATATACACTTACTTTTTTCCAAGGATTTTAGTATCAAGCAGCCTCTAAACATGTTGGTTGGTTATTGGAGAAAAACTGTGTTTTGACTTCTCGCGACAACCAGTGGAAATGGACCCAAAACAAAAACAAAAATCTAGCCCACTTGATGGAAACAAAATAGTTTCGAGCTTGTTTCAATTTTGTGTTTGTTTTCCGGGTTTTAGAAAATACGAACATAAAATACACTCAACTGTCCGCTTAGTGGAAAGCCGCCTTAAGATGTGAGATGCAGAAGACTCCAAAGGCCAATGAGGCCAACCGGCAGATTATAAAGGCATTTCACCACTCTGTGATACAACGTTGTTTCATGCTTTTTAGAAATCTTCAATATGATATCGGTCTAGCCATTAGAGACACACAAGAGAAACAGTGGAACATGTGATCCGCCTTCAGTACAAGTTTCAGCTGGCTCGAGGCATTTGGTTGTCTGTAGCGATTTTTTTTGTGAAACAGTCTTTCCTATTGTGTTCTAAAAATAAATGACATCAATTTCGAACAACGGCGTGCTATCAGGTTTTGCTTGAGACTTGGACACATTGTAAATAATATTTGAATGAACAAATTTGAAAAACTCAGTCTCATCACTTAATTTACAGGCCTCGCATGCATTGAGCGAAGTGGTGACAATGCTACCTATGACTTGTTCGTCAAACGTTACCGACGTAGAAATCAGTAGTACCACTTCTGGCGAACTGATCATAGGCGGTATTGTCGCCTCTCCGACGTTAGTCTTTTTAGCTATTTAAAAAAATAGGTGTTGTACATCCCTGTACCATCAGCCGATATCACCCTGTACATGAACATTCACACCACCCTGTACATCAACATCCACACCACTCAATCCAAAGTGACGCCAGCGTGTGCGCATGTGCAGACAGATATTCTGGTGCTACGATTTCGTTGCATCTCGCCCGGCTACCCCGTTGGTGAAATCGTGAACCAGGAATGAAAGAACTCACGCTTGAACCACTGGACACAACACGTCGGCTCCCGGATCTACCAATCGATCGCGCGATCGACTAGAGGCGAAAAAGACATTATTAACCTGTTGAATGTATCGCTTGTACATTATAAGTTTGTATTCAGTCCAAACCCAATAAACGTTGTTTCAAGAAAATAAAGTGTTATATGCGACATGAGCATACAAAACAGTAGGTATGCGCCTTCTAATAGCTGTCTGTCAGCTGGGACAGACACTCTAGAGAAAATAAGCAGAATTTTTGCTGCAACGTTTTAAAATTACAAGTGGGTTCAGTTACGGAGATATCCCAACTCAACAGATTCACAAATCGAAATCTGGTAATTTTAGACATCAGATGTACTTACCCTGATTCTCGAAACGTAAGAGTCTAAATAACAGAACAGCCTATATACGTTTATAATCGAAAAAATTTCACACGGGACAAAATTCCTGCATAGCTCTTGTGGCAAACACCGTTTTTCAAATCTCAAACATTTAGCTGTTAAACTACGGATACGCTTAAGGACCATGCTGCACTATTTACCAAATTTGAGACAAGGAAGCGGTGCGGTAGTGTGTTTGTAGTGCAGAGGTTAAAGTTTACCGATAATATTATGAGTAGCGGATAGCAATTCCTTGTTTCTATTTATTATATTGCAAAAATATTTGTTATGTATGCTTACCACGTCAAAATGCACCGAACTGAAAACCTTCACAGCACATGTATACTGTTGGCATGCAGAATTTGATGTATATTAATTATCCCGCAAATATTCAATTAAATATATAGGTAACAAATACAATGCATACAGATTAAATTGACCCATTCAAGGTCTGCAAGCACCCAAGCGTAATGATTTTAGGCTAGCGGAAAAGATAATTTTTAGTGGGATCCTGCAAAATCAAGACCAATTTAAAACCATTCAACAGAATTACAGTGATGCCCCACAATATGCGTTGCGTGGTGGGCCGACCCATGTGCTAGAAGTTTGTGCAGCCGGCACAAGCGCCGGGAAAAATGTGCCAAGCCAAAATCTCTGAATTGATTTTCTCAGTTATTCTTCTTTTGGGTACATGGAACAGTATTCGCCAAAGTCGAGGAAGATAACTGTGATTTCAATATTCTGGACTTCAAATGTGCTGCATAAATTTTAAGACAGTCAAAATCCTATAAAGTAGAAATAGATATTTTTCAAAAAATAAATGTCAGTTTTTCCCTAACTTTGTACGATCGAACGAGCAGCAACGTCTGGTTAAAAGTCTTTTGTTGAAGGATAATGGCTTTTAGGTATCATCACAGAAAACTGACAAAGCAAATGCAATCCCGCATTCAAATCTGAAAACTAAAATTAGATCGCCTGGTTTGGAGGACCATATCCCAGATTGCACTCAATGGAGAGTACCTATAGAGGCATGGGTCTTTGTGAAGTTTTAAGGTCCTAGCTCAAATGAATTTTAGCGTTTTGGCAACTTTGTCCTGTCCCTGAAACGTATTCGGCCCCAGAATCATGGATTACTATGAAGTAACATTGTCCAAGGAATTCAAAAATGATCTTCACATTGTGATCTGGTAACTTGTTCGACAAATATATAAGTAAAACGTTATTATTTTTCATTGTTTTATTTGGCTGACAATTCGCATGTCCTCCGAAACGAAAAAAGCACATTTTTTCAATTCTTCCGACAATTTCACTTAGGGATAGTCATATATTGCGGAGCCTGATTCCTTCCAATGACAGGAGTTGTGAGAAAATGGAAATATTGTCAAAACGACTAAAATTCTCCATTTAGTCGAAGAATATTTAACCAATATTGAATTCTCTTGAATATCCTGTTGTTAAGAGTTCATATCGCTATTCAGAAAAAAAAATAACCACACTCTCATGAAACACAGTTAGTCAAATTAATAAGGATTTTCAGACAGGAAAGAACACTACTGATTCATGTATGATACTAACAAGACTTAAACATATACATACAGAAGGCTCCATTTTCAAACAGTTCAAATGCTTTGAAACTAAAAAATATATTGTGAAAAGTTTGGGTTAATCCCCATACTTACAAACTACTTTCAGCAGCAAAAAAAACTGAGTATCGAGAACAATGTGCCGGCACAATGAGGGGAGGTAAAATTTTATGTTTGGCGTTAATCTTGACCTTAGAATTATTTAAAATCTAAATCACCTCCAGGTCACTTTAGAATGCTTCTACTACGACTTTGTAGGTTTTGGTCAAGGTCAATATCAAATTCATCTCCGAAAGTAAGATTTTCCTCTTTTTCGTCGGTGGGGCCAGAAAAATATGGTTGCAGTTAGAGTTTTCAAGTATATCTCTATCTTAAAGTTCATGCTGAAGGTTAGCATTCGACTGATTCTTCAAAATCCTTCAAGTTTTCTTTTGACCATTCTTTAGTTTCTTGCCCTGCCACGGTTTTACATTAATGTTAATCAAGCCTGTCGCAAAAGTAACTACTGTCATAACGTAGCCAAGTACACATTTTTCTTTGACCCCCCGAAACCTTTTATAATAACCTCCAATTTCACTCAACAGTTAATTATTTTCTCCTAAAACGAAGCAATTAAAAACACGAGGTAAATTTTAATTTGGTGAAGGATGCTGAGTTGAATGAGGGAAGGACTGAAATGGGTACAAAGCGCCCGCTCATTTTTATTTCTTTTTTATTAAAAGTAAGATATTAAATCAGTTTATCATAATATCCGGCAGACGGTGGCAGAAAGTTTTGTGGCAGCGAAGTAAACGATATTAAGCTTAGAGGCTCAGGAATTCTTTTCTCCCGTGCCCCCGAGGATTACTGAGATTTTATTTTGCACGTATAAGTAAGGTACCTAAAGTGACAAATGAGACACTGCACTTCCTACGCAAAGCCGTCATCAGTTCATAAAGGATTAAATCAGCGCAAATTAAATCTTCTGGGAAAATTTTTTGTTATGAACGCGTACAACGGAGAATTTGAATGGATCATGTCAGTCAAACAGGCGCATACAATTATTATTCCATAGATATACTTTCCCTGCACTACCGGTAGTTAATGTTCATTTGGCAACGTTGTCCCATCCCACATCTGCGCGGCATCGCCCACCGCGGCACCGCTGCAGCGAGTTTATTCCGCTGCAGTATGGAACACCCCGGTGAGCTTGGATACCACGAGTACACAGATCGAAAGCTTGTCTCTATAATTTTAATTTTTCAAGGCAAATATACGAGGAAATCTATGAAGTGTGAAATATGGCGAATGGGTGCACAGAATTACTACGTACAGTTCGCCCACGTGAATAAGTATCTGCTTGCCACCGTGCAAAGGTCACTGTGGACCGACTTCCTGAAATGGGATAATCAAATCCTATCAGTGCATCGATTGGAGGACATCGACAAGACGTAGTATTTAAAAACAGGCTACGTAGAATTGGTGCTTCGTTGCCGAAATAACATTTATGTCTATAATTTTAATATCATTTGGAAATCATAAATCTTCTCCGGTATTGATCAATAAATAAAATCATACATCTTGCAAAGATTAGTGCAAGCGGTTCAGCTGATCCTTTTTCAAAATATTGTCAAGGAAACTTGTGGTCCACCACGTGTTCATCAGGAAACCAACACGTGTATTTTACTTCATGACTGAGGGTCAGTGGTATATCATGGAATGATGGTGGATTGAAATCCCTTATCTTCCGTCACTTGGTGAAGATGACTATCTCAGTCTTAGATGGGTTGACTGACAGCCCTGTCCCCACGCACAATTTTTCGACATACATTTAGACTAACTGCATTCTCTCGTAGACGACCTAAAACAAGGACAACTTCATATCATGGTAATACAAGTAAAATTACTTCATCACAAAATTACCAAGCAGTCGTCAAATAAATTGTTGGTAAGTGAACGGAGAAGACACAACTGGAACATTATACGACCATTAAAAATGAACAATGTTTCGGCAGAATCATATCATGGAAGCAATTATACTGAAATGTATAATGTGCTAGCCACTTCAAAACAAGAGGACAATGAGACTGATGAGTCATTAAAAAATTGAACACCAACCTGGAACTGCTAAAAATTCTAGAGGAAAAAATTGCAAACTGACACTCGATGAATGATGCACAATGATGGCGGATGGCGCCTTGATCGTCTTGATGAAAAAGTTTATCTTTCAAATTCCCGATGATACAGCGCCCTCTGTAGGTGGCGATTTGAAATAAAAGTGACTTCAGCGCCAGAGTGTGTGCGAGCCACAATAAGGGGGGCAAAACATTTCTTGGCGGGAACAGCTTAGTGATGTATCTAAATTTATTTCGGTAATTTGTGAAACCTAAGAGGAGTATGGAAGTTGGTAATCAACTTGACATTGACATACTAAGCCCTACCACTTATTAGCAACTCTATTTTACGTTAATGTACTACCATAGGCTGTGATATCAAATAACAGATATCAAGTAGTAGCAATTCATTACCAGATCGCTTATAATTTATTTAGCTTGTCATCTGAATGAGCACTGTGACCTACATTTATTCAAAACATTGCTTCGTGCCATTTGTTTTCATTATCTATGGTTACAAATGACCCCGACATTACACTTGCAAGTATCTGGTCTTGAACTCCGTCACAGTTCAGTGATTTAAATGAAGAAACATATTCACGCATTGCGGTTCGAATTTGTATTGAACACATCTGCCGTTTCTAAGCTTTTGTCCCAAAGTGACATCTGCACTGATCCAAGAATCCCAAAAAAAAACTGAAGGTACCGCAAGAAGACAACATGGTGCGGCATAAGCTGGTAACAAATCGATAAGTCACTCTATAAATGGGTTTACAACTTTCAGATTGCCAGAAAGCACAATTAGGAAAAAATACAAATAGTAGGTAAATTGTAAAAGGTATTGGAACCCAAAAAGACTCAAAATCGTCATGATTCAACAGTTGATTGGCCATAGATCAGTCGTTCGCAGGTTGAGAATATGCGTCATGATTTTGTTGGAAATATTGTCACGAGCGATCCTTCTATAACCCTTTACTCTCGCCAACTCGTTAGCTTACGAACAGCTATCCTAAACCATGATGAGTATGATAATCAGCAATGGTGTATCCTTATCAGCCGAGGTGTCGATTTGGTGATTATAAAAAACTAGCTGGGCTGACATGCAAGGAAATTCCCTCTCTAAGTGCTGTTTGCCTCGGGGGTCAAGTCTTGCAATTTTTCCCTGCGAGAACACCAGCTGAGCTCTACAGTGTAACCAGAGTAAGTACCTTTTTTATATGTTTATATCAATAGAGCCTGTTTGTGAGTACTTGGGACTATATGTTATTTTAACAGCCCTTTGCAGCGCCAAGCGAGACTGCTGAGCCCCAAGTCATAAAATCGTGTTTGACTTTTATTTATACAGGATGACCCATTTATGGTGGGACGGAACATTGCTTCTAGACAAATTAAATATATATATATATATATCAATGATAATGCATAGTATCTGGGGGCATACGTCTAAGTTGTATAGAGTTTCTAAATTTTGAGCCACATATCAAA